CCTTCTTTTTTTTTTATTTTTTTTTTAATGCCATAATATATCCAAGCAAGCCTCATCATCAAATCAACAAAAAGAAAAATAAACCCTCTTTCTGCCATGTTCAAGTGACCGATCAAATGGCCATGAAATTATATTCGTAGAAGCATAAGATGCCATAAACGTAAACAGCAAATGCAAACATCAGGGAATAACTGATGCGAATCTCACGAAAGGAACAATCATAACATTCATGAATTAATATGCGTTCATGCTTGAGCGATTTTTACAATCAAATTATTTATTCACAACACATGCTCTGATACCACATGTAAACTTCATTAAGGATCTTGAATAAATAATTTGTGTGTATACGAAACACTTACTTGATGCGGAAGACGACATAATTTGTGATCTTGATCTTGATGATCACACGAGGTTGAATTAAGTGTTAGATCTAAATCAGTTTCTCCCTCCTGGGCTTCTCTTAATGTAGCAGAAAAATTGATGGGAAAATACTGCGTACCCTAATAGGAGGAGAGAGGACTAATTTATATAGGGGTGTCTTTAGATCTGGTACGTCCATCAAATATCCAGATTAATGGCTTAGATTTGTTTGACTATTAAATAAGGTCTGGCCCAATAGGATAATTAAATGTGAGTCCAATGCTTTCGGGCCACATATTCTTACATCTTACACTTTTCTGTTTCTCCCTCTCTTTTTCTTTGAGGGACATGACAATAGTGCGGTGCATGTCTTTGGGTGATTGGAGCGACTAGTTAGGACTACATGATATCAAAATTTCTTATGATGTTTTTTCTTTAGGGGAACATGTTACAACTTCAAACCAATATCATCTAGTTTCATCAACAAGATGGAGAGCCATTTTTTACAAGACCAGATAAAGATTCATACTACTTTATTTCGAATAGCCCGTACCACGGGTTTCTTGAGTATCGCCAAACTAAGTACGGTTTAAATATCTTGAGCTGTCGATGAAGACGAAATGAAGGTGGATGCCTAAAGAAGCTGTTATTGGAACGCATGTCACATGTGGTGCTGCGAATTCTCGAGAAAATGACGCCGAATAGTTATTTATTGTTTGTCGACAGGATTATTCCAGAGCTTAGCAACGACTATATATATGTCGATCATATTTCGACTTTTGGCGACAAAAACAGTGGCCCTTACGAATAAATTTGGGCCAAATTGCATAATATACTCAATAACTTGCTGCATATGACCCTTGTTCCCAGTAAATTGTTTCGATTACAGAAAATAGCGCATCTGGCAACCGGATACTAATTCAGCAGATGAACGAAACGTACTCACATTTAACTAATTTTGTAATTGATAACGAATCACACTCAACAGTATCAGGCAATAAATTTTACAACGATTTTGAAGCATATTACAATGAGAGCATCCGCAGCAAGCATCATATGTATAGTCTTCTTTACATATAAAGCTAACTCACGCACTCACATTATTCCGTGATTGCCTAATCAGATTTGGAGGACTACACTAAGAGCTTTCAGCAGGTCTCTGGTGGAAAGCCTCAACTCTTTCTCCATCTGATTACATAAGTTAAATTATTTTTGTTCCAATCTTTATATATAAAAATCGGTAAAAACTGCATTTTTTAGTCGTGTTGGTTTAACGTACGTAGCAATTTTAGTCTCAAATTTTCAACTTTTCGCCTTTTGGTAATGTGATCTAATACTTTGCTGCAATATCAACCCTTTGAGGACTGAAATTGCAAAAAAAAAAATTTACGGGACAGAAATCGAAATAAAATTTTAAATTACATGATTTAAATTGCGAATCTAAAAATCCATCCAAAAAATATAAATTAGGAATTTGTTGCAATTTAAGTCACTCAAAAGACTGAAATTGCAATAGAATATTAAATTATTGTATCAAAAGGCGAAATGTTAAGATCTTTGGACTAAAATTGTTATGACGTTAAATGAGTCTGACTAAAAATGCAAGCCTATAAAAAAATAACATAATAATTACCAACAAAAAATTAAAAATTGAACCATGTATCGAAATCATGTGTATCCTAGGTAAGTTTCATTCTAGATTAAAGATAAACCTTGGCCATAATCGTGATGTCGATCGCCGAACTCCCGAACGGCGTGACCTCCATGTTCGCGACCGCCAAATCGAACTTGTCCAACTCGCCAAGTATTTTTCCCAGATTGCCCTTCCCCTTTTCGCACTGGATCTTCAGAAGCACATTCTTTCCGCAGACTCTTGCATCGATATTCGGAAACTTTGGGTCGTTAGATTCATCGTCGTCCCCGTTAGCGCCTGCGTCGATTTGCGACTCGTCCGCGGCTTGAAGCTCCTCCAAGTTCCTCACGCTCTGCTCGAGATACTCTATGTACTTGATTGCATCAACCAGGACAGCATTAGCTTCGTCCACCTGTCGAATAATAAAAAGCAATTTTAGTTATTATGATCAAATTTTCGATTACAGGGAATACAATACGAGCAAAGAATAAAAAGGAAAACAGAAGCTTGTTGTTGCCTTATCCATTTGTTCTGTTCAATTGATTGGTCCGTACAAATTTTCGTAGGTGTATACAGATTTATTATTAGAGTCCGAGAAGGGCAAGAATGTACTTGTAATAGCGTCATCGATCCAATATTTATCCATACACAGAAAATATAATTATATCATCTGAAAAGCTGGACAAGAAAAGGGGCAAGAAGGTATTTGTAATAACATAGTTCGTCCATTGAAAGATCCAAAGTATGAAGATATGAATTAATTTAAAACAAGGGCATGAATGTACTTGTAATATATAAATGGCTGACTAGATCCGCCATGCGCGCCTGCATATATATATATATATATGTATATTTGCTAGTGAAGTGCATGATTTTAATTTTCATGAGATTTTAAATTATATTTTTTTTTTCTTTTATATTTAATGGACTATTCAATTTTTATGTGTTATTATTTTTAAATTATTCGGATAAAAGAAGTACGTAACATGATGAATATGTCAAACATATTACAGTTTTCAAATAATAATAATGAAAGATATAGGAAAATCTTCCGAGCTCTTCGGGGATTCCAACCCTTTTTCCCAAATCTTCCGAGCTCTTCTATCATCTCTCCGACTGCCTTCCTTGGCGTCAGCGAGTTCGGGCCAGTGGTCATCTTGACTGCTCGGCCCACCCTCTGACGCTTATCTCCTCCGCCGTGTTGTTCCGCTGCAAATGTTGGATTTTGAGGGTCGGGCCAGGGTTGTGGTCGGGTCTGATGGCGGTGAGCCCCAATCTGTCGACGAATCTCGGCTTGTTGGCGATTGGCGACTTCTATTCCGGTAAGTATTCGATTGAAGATGGATTACCCTCGATCTGTTTTAGGGTTTGTTTGTCGGCGGTCGGCAGTGCTTCTGGTGGGGATGTTGGAGTGTCTCTCGATTCTCTGGTGGTCTTCGATGGTGCTCATCGGATCGGTTCTGATTTCTGTTGGAACTATCGGAGAGAACCCTGTTTGGATTGCCGGTCGTTTTGGGTCTGTGGGGGTTGGTCGTCTGCTGGGCAGTTGATGGGTATGCCGGCGGTTTTCGGGGTGCGAGGTGGATTGAGGGTCTTTTGGGGGTGGGCCGAGGCTCCAGCGGTTTTGACCTCATGGGTCGTGGCAGTTGGAGTGGGGGACTGAGTCACTCTCTCCTCCTGGTTTTCTGGTGTTGGGAATTGCGGGGGTGGTTTTGGCACTACCGAGCCCGGGAAGTGGTGTTAGGTGAGCTTATGTGGGGCTGACAGGGGGAGATGGATGTTTGTCTTCCCGGTTGAGGTGGATTGATTCGGGTTAGGTTCGAGGTTCGGGTTTGGCTTCTGTATAGGCGTTCGGCAGCAGTTTCGGAGGTCGGGCTTGGGCTTGGGATCTTTCGTGAATTATTTTTTTTCTCTACTGTTCCGACTCGTTTGGTTGCTAGGGAAGCGCTTTGTTATTTTTTTGTTGCTTTGTTATTATCTCTTTTTGTGTCTTGTGGTGTGTTGCTAGGCTTATGATTGTGTGTTTTTTAATTGTTCTTTTT